TAATTTATATATATATATATATATATATATATATAAATTTATATATGATAAAATAATTTAAATTGATTAAAGTAAACGAAATAACTGTATGTATTGTATGTAACAATACATACAAGAAAAATGCATATGTGTAATACACGTGTAATGTACAGATAATATATTATAAATAAGATGAGAGAAATATATTAATCATAATTTTATTCGTAAAAATCTAAATACAAGTACAAGTTCACGCATGGCTTTACCTTTACATGGATTACAGCAAATCTCTTGATAAAAATCAGTTAGTTTGTAAGAAGGATTTAAGAAGTATTATTGATCGACTGAACAGTTTTGTATATTATATTTTATATATTAAAATTTATGTAATACAAAAATTTATGTAATACAAAAGAATTGTAAAGCATTTTATGACAATTATTCGTTATACGTAATATTTAATATTTAATACCTTTGAAGTTGAGATTGAAAAGCAACGAGGGGCATTGTTAAAAGAAATGTAGACAATTACGGACAATCGTAAAAATGTGATGCCGCACAATGTCGCATGTGCACACACATTTAGCAAATTATTTATGGATGTCGATGAAAATATTGAATGTCCTTCCACATTTTGTCGCTTTAAACGGTATGTTAAATTACTGTTACATGGGAAGCAATATTGAAGATTCGCTCGACTGTTATATTCGGTGAGAATTAATTGCAAAATAGAAATGCAGCGAGTGAGAGAAAGGAAAAGGGAACAGCAATGCAGATCGTATTAAATTCATTCATTCAAGGCATAAAATCGTCGATATTTAAACATTTTTAGATTAAAAGACGAGACAGATGATGAAACACGAAATAAATGAGACATGTATTATATGTCACGCGCGTACCCGAAATACATTACGGGTGAAATTGATACGTTTCGAGAGAAGCTGGATGTAACAAAAAAAAATACTAGGTGTTTTTATGTATTATTAAAAAAATTGATAAAAGAAACTTGATAATACGATAATTCATTAATTCATAAATTTATAAAATTTATAAAATGGCGATTTAGTGTAAAACCAATTAATTTAATCAAATTATTAGAAATGTGTATGTTAGTAATAAAGCACGCTATTAATATGGTTTGATGTAGTAATTTCCAGAAATTCATATGTTTCAGAAATTACACATCGATTTCAAACAGCCCGCAGAGAAGTTCGGCAATTACTACTGCAATATTTGTTACCCTGGTTGCATAATATGGAACTTGTTGACCCCAACGTACCGCCGCCGTCTAATCCGCTGAGTTATTACCAGGTGAATAAAATATTATTATGATTATTGCACGATTATTGCAATAGCATTTCTCTTTGAAATTCTAGATTCTCATTCGTGCACGTGGTTTTGCCTTTTGAATGCGCTTAATGAATATAAACAAAATAAAGAGAAGCATAATTGGATGAAGACATTTTATATAATCATATTTTTGTACTGTAATATAATATTATCATTCAAGTCTAATAATATATAAAAACTTTACGTGTATATATATATATATATATATATATATGTATCACATTTGTTATTTGGGAAAGTTGATGAAAACTGATCGTTACATTATACTTTTAACCCGAACATATCTCTAATATGTAATAAATATAATTTCTTAATTCAAAGACAAGATGATTACTTAAACAAAAATAATTTAACGTGTTGCAAACTGAAAATCGCTCTTGATATGCTAAATCAGTTTTACTTGATTTATAACAATTCGTAATCTACATTTTCTCTCATTTTTAATGTGTTTCTAGATATTATAAAAAAATAATTTATTATTGGCAAAAAAAAGAAGCTTGGAGGCGCCGGGTATCGATCCC